CTCCCTTTCCTAGGTTTTGCTCTGCCCCACGCTGCCAGCTCCCCAGTGTGCCCTCCAGCTCCCCCCTCTGCGCACCCCACAGGGCTGAGTCCCCTGGCCAGTCCGCTCCCACCATCTCCCCCCCACTGCAGACCCCAATCCCAGCATCCCTTTCCACATATACTCCACTCCTCTCCTCCCTGCCCCTCAGCGGAGCACTCAGTCCCCTCCTCGCAGGCCCAAGGAGAGGAATGGTGGCACCCCAGGCATCCTAGCTAGCCAGCCGCCCGTTCTGTCCACCTCGGCGGCGGCAGCAGCGGCGGTCACAGTGCTCACCTGCTGTCCTCGCTGGTCCTCTCCTCCTCGATGGCTGCCTCGCCCCGCGCAGCCTCTCCTTCCAGCCTCAAGCCGCCTCGCCTCTCGGGGACACCACCCCAGCTCCCCTTCAGCCAGACTCCTTCCTCAGAGGTCTCTCCGCGCACATCCACAGCCCCCCCGCAGAGCTTACTCACTCTGGTCCAAGGACGCAGCCATCAACCTGCAGGCAGGGGTCTCCCTCCAGCACCCCGGAATCCCCGCTCGCTGGTGGCTTCACCAGAACAGATTGCCTCCCTGGCTCTTCCCCTCCCCCGGCCTCTCCTCCTCCATGTCTCCTGGATCCCGGGGCAGCATCCTCTGGTGGCTTCCTGTCCCGATATCTCAGGGCCCCCGCTTGTACCCCAAAGGGGGATCGGAGCGAGGACGCTTAGAAAGTTCACAGACTCGTAATCCTTCTCCCAGAAACTCGGCTCTTGCTGAGGCTGCCTGGGTAGGAGGCTTCCGCCAGGTCTTCCCCTCCTCCCCCTCTCTTCTCCTCCTTCCATCCCTCCTCTCGCCCTCCCCTCCCCTCTCCCTTTCTCGCTCCCCTTTTTCCTCGAGGGCCAGGTACTGACGTTGCACTGTCTCTTAGCAACTGCCTCCACATCTCTGAGCAACAGGAGAACAGGCGATGGACCCCCACCAAGATGTGAACTAGGGGCAAGAAGGAGCCCCAGAATCAGCAAGGACCCCTAGGATCCTGGGGACAGGGCAAAGGTCGAAAGCAGCGGCCAGAGGCTGGGCAAGACTTCAGCAAGGGGAGGAGGTGCAGCCAGGGGTGGGGTGGGGGCAAAAAGACTCCCAAGAGAGGTTGGAAATAGGAGTAAAAGGAGGTGAATCTGGAAGTTGAGATGGGTTGGAGGTGTTAAGGATATTAGATCCAGAGGGGAAGGTAGAACTTGGCAGGAGAAAGGGGGGGTGGGGTGGCGGGGCAGAAAATCAGGGGTGGCTGAGAGACTCAGGAATAAGGATGGAAGCAAGGACAGGACTGCCTGTGACAAGTTTGGACTCTCGAGGGGATGCACATATAAACCCAAGTAGTTGGAAAGAGGAATCCATGACAACCAAGGACTGTTGCCTTCAGAAAGGCAGAGCTGGCCAAACCACCTTACCACAGCACTGAAATAAAAAATAAAACAAAAAGGGGAGAGACCTTATTTATCTCAATCGGAGCTGAGAAAAGCACTCAGCTCGTTTCAATAGTTCATGCTGTCGAATGAAAACTTGTTAAAAAGAACAGAGGGCGTCTTATTGTGCAAAGTACATACTTTTTCCTTTTATCCTCTGGTCTCTTCTTCCTTCTCATTCATTGCTTTCTCCTCTTCTTTCCTCTCTTTTGCTTCACACCTTTTCCCTCCTTTTTTCTTTCTTTTTTTGGGGGGTGGGGGTGGGGTCAGCTTTATTAACACCTGGAACAGGTTTGGGAAATTCTGAACAACTCCCTATGGACCACCTCGTGCTTAGATGTCTTCACTTTCACCACTTGAACTAGTAATTGGGCTCTCCAGAGGTCATGCTTTTACACAAAGGAATGAAACTGGTGCAGAGTATCAGAGTTATTATATAGGTGGATACGAAATCCATGTCCAATTGGGCCTCCGCTCAAGTACTCCTTCAATGCCAGAATACTTTGTTCTATTAAACTGGCATTCCATGATGCTCACCTTCCCAGACAAAGTGGGTGCAAATGTTGTGAAGAAAGCTGATGGTGCCCGGCTATCAAAAGATATAGCATCTGGGGTCTTAAAGCCTTGAAGATAAGCAAGCAGCCATCTAGCTCAGAAGCAACAAAGCCCACACGGAAGAAGCACACAAGCCTGTGTGATCACAAGGTGTCGAAGGGATCAGGCATCAGGCATCAAAGAACAAAAAATCAAAACATTGTGAACGAGGGGGAGTGCAGATTGGGGACACAAGACTCATCTGTAGGCAACTGGACATCCCCTTACAGAAGGGTTGCGGGGAGAAGACTAGCCAGTCAGGGTCCAGTGTAGCAGCGATGAAACATACAACTTTCCTCTAGTTCCTAAATGTCCCCCCCACCCCACACACACACAACTATCATGATCCCAATTCTACCTTACAAATCTGGCTAGACCAGAGGATGTACACTGGTACAGATAGGAACTGGAAACACAGGGAATCCAGGACAGATGATCCCTTCAGGACCAGTGGTGAGAGTGGCGATACCGGGAGGGTGGAGGGAAGGTGGGGTAGAAAGGGGGGACCGATTACAAGGATCTACATATAACCTTCTATCTGGGGGATGGACAACAGAAAAGTGGGTGAAGGGAGATGTCAGACAGTGTAAGATATGAGAAAATAATAAAAATTTATAAATTATCAACAGTTCGTGAGGGAAGGGGGAGTGGGGAGGGAGGGGAAAAATGAGTTGCTGATACCAAGGGCTCACGTGGAAAGTAAATGTTTTGAGAATGATGATGGCAACAAATGTACAAATGTGCTTGCCACAATGGATTGTGATCAGAGCTGTACGAGCCCCCAATAAAATGATTAAAAAAAAAAATGAAATCCATGTTGAATTGCCCATGCTGGGTGGCTGGCTACTTCTCTTAGCAAAGTGATTTTTCTCCTCCACATCAGCCTTACAGAGGGTGTGATTCAATTTTAAGGCACAGCAAAATAAGCAATTATTATATATCATGGTCTTCTGAATGCCCTTGCATATAATTGAAACTGTGACTGTTCAATCTATGAGTGTCAAGGACTTCCTGGGACAACACACAGAAATCAGAGCATTGTGGCATGCAAAAAGAATTGAAAAATAATTTTCACTATTATAATTTCCTGGTTTACTTGTGCTAATGATTAGTTGTGCTAATGCCAGAAAACCTTTGAATGCATGGGAATTAATAGAAGTCACCACATAAACAATGTACTTAGAGGAAATCGTGCAACTTTAATGGAGTGAAAATTCAGCTAGAAATGGAAAGCTAATATCAGCAGTTGGGAAAGTCCCAGATAAGAAAGATAAACTCTGTTTTCTAAATTATAATACATCAGTGAAGTATTTAGCAAAATCTGGTGAGCGAACAGGGGGAATATGGGCAAGAATGCAGAGATTTTTAATAAAGAAAATTGTATTGGTGGTGCTGACAAGAAATACTTAAAAGTAATGTAGGAGGATTTGCCTAGTAGCTTAAAATATATGCTGCCAAGTAATAACCATTCAACATTACTCAATATTTGTGTGCATTACTCAATTGCTTTGTGTATTACTCAATATTTGCCTTTTAAACAATGATCATGGAATATACAATACTTTTAGGAGGTGATTTTCATTATCTAAAATGACATAAACAACCAGACCCAACCCATGGCTAGTGTTCAATTCTGAGTCATAACGACCCCATGGGACAGAATAAAATAGTCCCATAGGGTTTTATTTGCAGCCTTGATGGATCCAGATCAGAGGCCTTTTTTTCCCTCTGTGATGCTGTTGCATGAATTCAAAGCGCCAATTTTATTATTATTTTTAATCGTTTTATTAGGGGCTCATACAACTCTTATCACAATCCATACATACATACATCAATTGTATAAAGCACATTTGTGAATTCATTGCCCTCATCATTCTCAAAACATTTGCTTTCCACTTAAGTCCCTGGCATCAGTTCCTCATTTTTCCCCTCCCTCCCTGCTCCCTGCTCCCTCATGAACCCTTCATAATTTATAAATTATTATTTTGTCGTATCTCGCCTTGTCCGATGTCTCCCTTCACCCACTTTACTGTTGTCCATCCCCCAGGGAGGAGGACACATGTAGATCCTTGTAATCGGTTCCCCCTTCCCGACCCACCCTCCCTCTACCCTCCCAATATCGCCACTCACACCACTGGTCCTGAGGGGATCATCTCGCTGGATTCCCTGTGTTTCCACTTCCTATCTGTACCAGTGTACATCCTCTTGTCTAGCCAGACTTGCAAGGTAGAAGTGGGATCATGATTGTGGGAGGGGGGGGACGACGAAGCTTTTAGGAACTAGAGGAAAGTTGTATTTTTCATTGTTGCTACATTGAACCCTGACTGGCTTGTCTCCTCCCTGCTACCCTTCTGTAAGGGGATGTCCAGTGGCCTACAGATGAACTTTGGGTCCCCACTC